TTCGAGGTCGCCCCCTCGCAGCAGGGTGCCCTTGTGTCCTGTACTTGCGCAGCCCTGCAAGTTCATTCATCGTCGCATTCGGGGAGAGGTCGCGGGCCGCGCAGAGGGTACCCAGCCGTCCTGTACATTGGTTTCCTTGTTGCAGAGCCTCTGCCGAGCTGCAGAGCCTCTGCAGAGCCTCTGCCGAGCTGCGGAGCCTCTGAAGAGCTTCTGAAGAGCCTCTGCAGAGCCTCCGAAGAGCCTCTGAGGATCTTCTGAACAGCCTCTGAACAACCTCTGAAGAGCCCCCGCAGAGCCTCTGAAGAGCTTCTGCCGAGCCCCTGTGGAGCCTATGCGCAGCCTCTGAAGAGCTTCCGAAGAGCCTCTGAAGATCCTCTGCCGAGCTCCTGGAGAGTCTCTGAAGAGCCTGTTGAAGAGCCTCCGCAGAGCTTCTGAAGAGCCTCCACGGAGCCTTTGCCGAGCCTCTGAAGAGCCTTTGAAGAGCCTCTTGAAGAGCCTCTGAAGACCTTCTGAAGAGTTTCTGAAGAGCCTCTGAAGAGCCTCTCGGACCTCTGGAACCCTCTTGGGAACTCATCGACCTCCGAAGAACCTCTTGGACACCTTCTGGAAACCTATGGAGAACCCTCTGGGAACCTTTGGAGAACCCTTTGGAAACCTATGTATGGAGAACCGTCAGGGAACCCTCTGGGCGCCTTCTGGAACTCCGTTGGGGACCGTCTGGAAATACTTTGGAGACTTTTCGGGAACCTTTTGGGGATCCTTTGGGAACCCATTCGGAAACTTCTGGACACACCTTTTGGCAACCCTCTGGAAATCTATTCGAAACCTTTTGGACACCCTGTGGCAACCTCTTTGTCAGCCTCTTCGATACCCTTTTGGGAATCGTTTGGGGATTCGGGAAAATCCTTGGGAAACCTTTCGGGGACGTGTTGGAACCTTCTGGACATCCTTGTTTTTGTTCGACAGCCGCTGGGAACCCTCGGGGAACTTCTTTGCAAACCTTTTAGAAACCCTTTGTAAATCCTGTGGGCACCCTTTGCGAACCCTACGGAAACCCTTGAGGGAACCTTTGGAAACCTTCTGGAATCCCTTTGGAAGCCCTCTGGCAATCCTCTGGCTACCCTCTGGAAACCTCTTGGATACCCTCTGGACATCTCCTGGATACCTAGTCCTCTTATGCCTCCTCCTCCTCCTTCCTCCTCCTCCTCCTGCTCCTCTTCCTCCTCCTCCTCATCCCCATCCTCGTCCTCGTCCTCCTCCTCCCTCCTCCTCCTCCTCTCCTCCTCCTCCATGCGTGTATATAACAACGAATCGTACATGCATCCATCGCGCGCGCGTGGGCGCGCGAGCGGGTGACCATGGTCACCCGTTGGCGTGCGCGAGCGCGCTCGGTGTATTTGATTTTATGCGGTGTCATAGATTTGTGGTTGATATAGCCGCTTGTTGCGTCCAGGGAATGAATTTTTTTCATTGGGTTTTCGCCATTTGGGTTTCCGAAGTAACATTGCCATGCTTGTATACAAAACGCATACTACATCCATCCATCGCGCGCGCGTGAGCCAGCGAGCGGGTGACCACGGTCACCCGCTGGCGTGCGCGAGCGCGCCCGATGGATGTGTCTGTATACGGTTCCATATATTTGGGATTGGTAGAGCCGCTTGTTGCGTCCAGAGAATGAAATTGTACATTAGTTCTTCGCCATTGGGTTTCCGAAGTAACATTGTCATGCTTGTATACAAAACACAGAGCACATGCATCAATCGCGCACACGTGAGCCTTGGAGCGGGTGACCATGGTCATCGGCTGGCGTGCGCGAGCGCGCTCGTGGATCTGTTTGTATACGGTTTCATATATATAATATATATATTATATATATATAGCGGCGGTATAGCCGCTTGGTGCGCCGGAGAATGAAATTTTACATGGGTTTTCGCCATGGGTTTCCGAAGTACATTGCCATGCTGTATACAAAACGCATATAGTGCGTGCATCCATCGTGCGAGCGTAGCGCGCGAGCGGGTGACCAGGGCACCGCTGGCGTGCGCGAGCGCGCTCGGTGGATGTGATTATATACGGTTCCGTGCATTTGCGATGATATAGCCGCTTGTTGCCGGAGAGAATGAAATTTTACATTGGGGTTTCGCCATTGGGTTTCCCAAGTAACATTGCCATGTTTGTATACATCGCACATAGTACATGCATCCATCGCGCGCGCGTGAGCGCGCGAGCGGGTGACCATGGTCACCCGCTGGCGTGCGCGAGCGCGCTCGGTGGATGTGATTGTATACGGTTCCATACATTTGCGGTTGATATATCCGCTTGTTGCATCCAGATAATGAAATGTTACATTGGGTTTTCGCCATTGGGTTTCCGCAGTAACAGTGCCGTGCTTGAATACAAACCATATAGTACATGCGGCCATCGCGCGCGCGTGAGCGCGCGAGCGGGTGACCGCGGTCACCCGCTGGCGTGCGCGAGCAAGCTCGGTGGATGTGTTTGT